GAACTCTTTCAGACTACTGTTGCAAACGATTAATCCTAGACGAAGATGACTATTCCACAGATGATGACGATGATTATCTAACTCTTGGCCCAGGTACAAATTGGAGAATATAAATCAGCTAAGTTACCTAAACAACTTCAGGGGGTACAAGATACGTTTACTGGGTGGGACAGCGTCGATGAGTAGCGAACTTCGTTGGCGACAAGGTAACAGCACGTATTCGCAGCATTTTTGGACTTTTAATGAGAGAGGGGTTTATATAGGGGGGACTCGGCATGCGTACGACCTATCCGGTTCCAAAATCCTAACTCCTCCTGGGAATATCTAAAGCCTCCTCGTGGCACACCACACCCAGGCGCGATTTGTCTGATATACCGCGCCCTAAAGTCTTTTTCCGGTGCGCCGTATAAGCGGCGGGAGTAAGATGTGTGTAATGCATTAGAAATACTGTATGTTGCACTTTATTTTACCATTGCTTATTATTTTAAGGTCTCTGTTAGAACCGGGTTCCAGTCGTGAAACTCGATGACTGTTACATGCCCTTGATGTGCTGCTGGCTGTAATTTAGCCCTATTACGAACAGCTTCAATCTAAAAGGATCCGAGGTGAACGCAAATACACATCAGTCCTTTGAAGACCAACATGCCGCAAGTTCTCTGACTATGAACGTGCTGAAGCCTATCAGTCGCCAACTATGAACATCTTTCTAGACGATTCAAGAAGCATGATGTTCCGTGATCTGTCAGGCAGTTTCATGGACCACTTCCACCAACATCCATTTAGATTTACTAAATGCTAAATGTGTCCTTACAGTAACAGGAACATGCTGTCTTCCGATTTCGGAACTTCTCTCGGACGACTATTTGAACGATCTGAAAAGGTGAGCAACTGTTCATTCCTTGGAAAATGCAATCGCCAGGAGCTTACTTCTTCTAACAATTAAAATTACTGCTAAAACCAAACAAAATAGGACAAGGATGTAGACTAATCTCTCCAAGGTAAGAAAATTTTTAAATATATTTTATAAACAATTATGCTGATTCGGTGTTCGATCGATTCTCTTTAGATGTAAGCTGAGGCTGATTTTTAATCTTCTGAGAGTTAACAATCATCAGCAACTTTCACTTCAAGTAAATCAACGACTCCCTAAATTAGTACAACTACATTTAAAGTATTTAACTTATTCATTCTCTAGAAAAAACGGTCTATGCTAATACAATCCATGCAAATCTATGTGTTTTACTAGATTTAAATATTGTAAATTGTACACCTTTATAATTGCTTGTGCAACAATTATAACTTTATATTATGATTTTAATTATTAGTTAATAACTCATTTCATTATTACAAAACTAATATTATTTTATTATTCATTATTCATTGTTACAGTGAAAACCACAATTTTATCTGTACAAACTTTGAACAACTCAGTTCTCAACTATTCAGGAAATTGGAGCTGGACCGTCTCATGGAAAACAGAAAGAAGAAGCCTTATTTGGTTGGAGGTCCACTGGAGCGCAGGTGAATCGCTTAGAGACTTGTTTCGTTTCGTTATACCGATATACTATGAATGCGGGACCTGTTCAGTTACTCGCGTAATTGTTTATACGGTATTTGCATGTGTGAGAATTTTTGAACCTATAAGCGTAAAATCAATATCTGTTGGGAGCTCTAGAAATACGCCGTAAAGCGGGCTGACTTAAAGGATATTCTGAAGAAGGAATCTAGGTTAGAAACAGAACAATTAAATACGATAACAAGGTAAACAACTAATAGTAAATAAATACCTGATCAAAGTGGAAGTCGTTTTCGCGGGATGAAGAATATAAATGGGAATGTATGGTTCAAAAATTTCTTTCAATCAATTACCAGTACAGCGTACTGAACCTTCGGCTAGTCNAGAGACTTGTTTCGTTTTGTTATACCGATATACTATGAATGCGGGACCTGTTCAGTTACTCGCGTAATTGTTTATACGGTATTTGCATGTGAGAATTCTTGAACCTATAAGCGTAAAATCGATATTTATTGGGAGCTCTAGAAATACGCCATGAAGCGGGCTGACTTGTGAGATATTATGAGCAAGGTGTTTAGGTTAGAAATAGAGCAATTAAATACGATAACAAGGTTAACAACTACTAGTAAATAAATACCTGATTAAAGTGGAAATCGGTTTTCGCGGGATGAAGAATATAAATGGGAATGTGTGGTTCAAAAATTTCTTTCAATCAATTACCAGTACAGCGTACTGAACCTTCGGCTAGTCGGGCTTATTTCCAATGTAGTGAAACTCATCCTTTCAGTTGATAACTTCCAGTCTAGGAATATAAGGCAAAATAGAAAGCAGTTAAACCGCTTCATTTGTACGTCTTTCATGATAAGTATCCTGCATTGGTAGTCGACACTTTGGAAAGTAAAAAAAAGTCGTAAAGTCGATGAGCAGATCAGATCTTAAGTCTTATAATAAGCAGCTAGTGGTGGTAAGTGTGACGGTAATATTTACGACGAGCTAGAGCAGGATAGGAGCTTATTCCGAGAATTCAAACCGACGTGATGGACTTTGCGCGGTGTCAGAATCTGTGATTGGGGCGCATCATAGATGCAACGGTAGTCTTATGGCATAATAATCGCAACCGATCTGGGACATGAGGTACCATGATGCTGAGGTAGAAGCTGAAGTAGGACAAATTGTCTTTCTCAAGATGTTGACAACTTCCTGAAGGCTCCCCAAGATGAGGAATGCTATTTTATTGTACTGTTTTCCATCACACCTTTTCGACGCTTCGTACAAGGTAGGTCAAATTACTCTCATTGTATTTGGTCTATTTATTTTTTCTATTGTAGTGTTATTTGATGCCATATTTCTATTCAAGATTGTATCGTTAACCTTGTTTACCTCCGATTAACGGATTGGATAACTGTCATTTCTTATTCCAGCGCATAGTGTATGGTTGAACTATAGCCAACCGCCCCAAGTTTTCTTTAGAGCCAAGGGAAGCAAGTGGGTGGCACTAACCCTTGCCTCTTATTGGTGTCCTGCTCACGGTAACCAGTCACAGGCGCGTTTGTCGCCTGATTCTCTCGCAGATTCGGACCACAACCCACACGCTGTGATTGGACTATGCTTGATGCGAGCTTGGGAATAGACTCACATCATGGTGTTACGGAATCTATAGTTGTCATCTCCCAGACTGTTTTTTCCCATATGCAACGGTTAGATGGGACAGTGTATTGGGTCTGCAGTTGCACCGCAGACTAATGTATTTTATGGTAACTTACATAGCATGGGCTAACGACCTATTTATATGAAGATCTCGATAATATGAGTAGCGCATAAGTACACATAAGTACATATGTTGTACTTACAGGAGTCTTACAGCCTACATACCCTGTCACGGAGAAACTACATGCCCACGAGGATTAGTAGTGATGTACGTTTAGTAGTATGTAGGTGTATAACCAATGTTCCTTGAGGAGATGAAATTCGTCGTGGTAACCCGTGCTTGTTTTCATTTGGAGTTTTTGTTAACTGCAGTTGTTTCGTCGCAGTACGAGATGTCTCAAGGTCTCACCGAGCTGGCGGCCTGTGGGGAAGTTGGTCTCCGGCGGGACTCGAACCCTTACTTCTCATTTCGGACAACGTACTTTTAATCTTGATATGGTAACCCATACCGTTCTTATTGTCTCCTTTATTCTTCCATGGCTTTTGTATTCGCTCCAGTGCGTTCTGCTTTTTGGCAAGTTCGTACGAGAAGAGT